GTGGACTTGATTGCTTCAATTTTTGAAAATGAAATAGCTAAACACTCCATGACCAGACTTGAGGTGGAGTTGAAATCACAGCAAAGAGTTGGGCCGAAATTGTGATCGGACTTGGGCTTGGAATTTGCAAGAAAATTCTTTTGAAAATCAAGTGAACATGGGCTCAAGAATTGGATTTTATTTTTCTTTTGAAAATCAAATAAATCAAAGGTGGAGATTGTTGCTTGGGGCTCAAGACAAATCCAATGGCTCATATTCATTGAAGATTACTATAAATAGGGGTAGAGAGTGAGGGGTTAGAGGTGTGAAAATTTTGTAAACTCCTTTTGGAGAGGAGGGCTACTCTTAATTGAGAAGGCCTTCCAAAAATTGTAACTTTAGTTGCAATTAATAAAAATAATTTTTTCCTCTTTAAATTTGTTCTTTCTCCTCTTTGTTGAATGATGAGGATGGAGATGAAGAGCAATTTGAAGGTTTGCATTTCTTTTCTCTTTTATTTCTTTTTAGTAATTTCTTTATTATTGCTTATTAGTTAGATTTAAATTCATGCTTGTAGTATAGATTTACTTTCTTGTCTTTTTTATTTTCTTTTTGCACTTTAATTTGTAGAGTAGATTTATTTTTCTTGCATTTAATTTCTGCAATTTATTTTGTAGTTTAGATTTTTATTTTCTTTGTAATTAGATTTATTTCTTGTTCATAGTTTAGATTTTTCTTTTCTTTTTAATTTTGTAATTAGTCTTCTTTTTCTTGTTTTTATTTCTTAAGATGTGAATTTAATTCTTGTAAGAATATTAGAATTGTATGAAACTAGTCTAATTTCTTTTATATTGTATGAATTATTCTCTTGCACTTAAAATGTTCATGTTTAGGATAATCAACTAGAGAACTAATCGGTAGAAGAAGAATTTGATAATCTATGCTTATCTTAAATGGTTTGATAGGTTATGCTTATGAATTCTAGGATTATTATCATGTTGTTATTCTTATCATGAATAGTAATTTTAGCTTAGATGATAATTTGATAGGTTACACTTTCCTTAAATGGTTTGATAATCTATGCTTAATAAATCTAAGTTGAAATATGATAAAAAGAGAATAGTTTATATTTTATAATTGAAATTGGTTAGTGGATTATATTCTAGATTTCTTACCTCTTTTGAATCATTCATCTTAACTTTCTTAAATTTTCTTTTTATTTTTGGTTTTATTTCTTGATTTTATTAATTCATATTTCTTGCCTTATGATTTCATTTATTCTTTAATTCTTCATTCTCTCATCTAAAATTCAATTTATTATCTTTTGCAAAGATTCACAACAAATCACTCATCACATTCATACTTATTCTTTATTCCTAATTGTCACGCACAAAATATAAGAACCAAGTTTGATAATCTCTTAAAATCACCTTCCTCGTGGGATCGATATCTTTTTATACTATAACTTGATAAATTGTGCACTTGCAATTTTGGTACATAATTATGCCGCATCATATACATACATACATATTTCATATTTATTATTTTTGGTTTTGGTAAACAATGTGTTTAGCCACATAAACATGAAAACTTAACAACACATATATAAATATATTTTTATGTTTTAAATGGTTTAAAAAATAAATAATATCTCACAAATGGGAAAAGCAATTTGAGAAATTCTTTTTCTAACATGTTATATTACATGTTTAAAAATATTTCCTAAAAGTTTATCATTTTTGGAGTTGATTTACTATGGTGAATTGCTTTTACAAAATTGGGTGTTTCAGAATCTATAATATCTATGTTCAAATAATTATTTCTATCAACTAGAAAGTTATATTTCATAAATTCTTTCTTTAACATGTTCATATACATGTCTAAAAACTTATCTCAAAATTTCATTATTTTTGGAGTTGATTTACTATTTGTAATTAATTTTACAAAGCTAGCTACGTGAGAATTCTAGAATCTACCAAAACTGTCAACGGTCGACTTCATCAGTCGACTGATGACATCAGTCGACTGATGACATGTTTTTAGTCTATAAAGGCTAGTAACAGCTAGATTTTATTTTTGTGAGTTTTTGAGGGTTTTGGCTGGTTTAAGAGAGTTTCAAAACAAGTTTACAAGTGTTTAAGTTTGGTTTTAAGTTTATTTTAAAGAGAGTTTATGTGAAGAAGGTTTCACAAGAGGAGATTATTTTCGTTTAGGCCTTCAATCTTTCAATCTCTCCCTCTTGTTCATTAGAGAAGTTTTTTTAAACTCAATTTCTAGCTTCATTTATATTTATTGTTGATTATTATTTCTATAAGCTAGGTTTTCATATTGAGTTTAGTTTTGATTATTTCTCTTTGTTTACACACTCAACAATTGAGCTTTAGTATTTTCATACATAGTATATTTGGGTTGTGGGATTGTGCCTTGAGAGTGAGCTTATTTGTGTTCTCATCCATATTAGAGAACAAATTATTGTATTGAGTTTTTATTGTGAGGATACACTTTGTAATACACTTGTACACCGAGAGGAGTGTGTGGTGAGAGACGGGATCGGACCAAGAGGAGTGGCGTCGGTAATAAAGCCTAGGGAGAGGTTGTAAATCCGAGCACCTGAGGAAGACACGGGCTAGAGACCAATACTTAGAGGGTGTAGAGTGTGATTGCAAGAGTGTTGATTGTAAAGTTTTCGGTGAGCTAGAAAATTGAGTGTGAGGTGTAAACGTTTTCGGGTGAGTGTTGAAAACATGGTGTGATAGTAGATTTCTCCCCGAGAGTAGGGAACAGAGATGTAGGACGGAAGGTCCAAACTACATGATAATTTGATTGTGTTTGAGTTTGCATTGGCGTTCATTTATATTTGTGTTCATTGCTCATATCGTCATTGTCTCATTATTTAGTTTGTCCACTATATTATTTACATTTATTTCACCCTTGTGTTATTTGTATATCCTTGCATCTATATCTTATTGCATATCTAATTTACTAGGATATTTGTTAATTAGTTTTAATTGATATTAAATCAGATTAGATTAGCATAAATCTTATTCACCCCCCTCCAGGGTTCTTTCTTGGTGGCATTAGGGTCCAACAGTGGGTTTCTAATTATTGATTTCCTTGGATTGTTTATCTCTAGTTCGGTGTTAATATTTAGATATCTTCAATTTGAGATATATGGTATATACATGATGGTCTCATTGTTTGGATTATTTTGCTCGACGTACTACGTCTCATTTTGTAGGTGTCTAAATATTGATTCTATTAGATACAGGAAAAATAATCTAGGTAGACTATGCTTAATAGGTAGAGCCTCCATTTCATCTAGCAGCCCTTTTCCTGGGGGCGGATGGATGTGATCTTGCTGTAGCGCTTTGACGCTCTTGTTGTTATTTTTTTGTTTAAGTTATCTCTTTTAGGTAGCTCAGAGTTTCGAAGAGCCACAGGATGATGGAGTTCTAGCATAGTCGCCGTCGCACAGTCTTAGTAGCCGAAGCTCCACCGTATAGTTACGTTCATTGTTCAGACTTTAGAGTTTTATTCATTTTATAAAGACATAGTGCCTTAGTATGAGATTTAGTTGATTCATGTTGAGATATTTTATTATTTCAGATATCAGATGTCCTTCAGTTAAGACATGATTCTTTTATTTATGAGATCTCTCCTTCTATATCATGTCTATTGTTTTTACTTCCTCATTTTGCCTATTTTGTACATTCACTTCTTATTGATTTTACTAGAGGATATTACTGTGATTGGTGAAACGTGTTAATGCACTGTGTGGGTGCATGGCATGTTTGACAATCTGGGTTTCACCTTGGACTGTAGTCTTGTGTGAATCCTGGGGCATCACAAATAAATATATATATTAAATATTATGATAAATATTATAATAAGGAAAAGATGTTCCTAAGATGAAACCTTAAATTTAATCTAAGGTAGCGCCTCCGAACATTGTATACAATCAATTTACTCGATCCACTTGTTCATTTTGATTTATGTACTTTGGATTGTATATGACTAAAAATTTAGGCATATCGGGTTGTAGGTACTCATGCATCAAATGATTATAAAATTAACAGTTTTGTGATAGCATAACTAAATGGACAATGAAAAGATGTGTTAGAAGTATTTAACTATCCCGATTTTTGTTTTATAGATGTTTGAGGCATTTAGATCATGATAAATGGAGCAGATCATCAATTTGAATAGTCTAATTCATGGATCAAGAGGTGCGACCTTAGATTGAATTTAAGGTATCACCTTAGGAACGCTTTTCCCATTATAATAATATATAATATCATTATATATAAATAATATTATAATATATTCATATATATGTAATATCATATAATAATAATATAATATTCATAATATAATATATAATATTATAATTTATATAATTATAATATTATATATTAATTAATTTATTGTTAATAATATTTTATTAATATGACATAAGGAATTAATTACAATATTCGTAATTAGTATTTACAAATAATGTAATATATATTTTAATCAAATATATTGCATATTATGAAATAAATAATTTTTACTTAATTAAATAATTATTTTATTAATAATAATATTTTACTAATATGAACTTAATTATTATTCTCAACATTAGTAATTAATAATTACAATATGATGCAATATATAGAAATATTTTAATCAAAAATATTTTTTATATGAGGTAACTAATTTTTAATTAATTAATTCTATTAATACTAATATTTCATTACAATAAAATTAATTAATTACTCTCATTATTATTAATTAATAATCATAATTAATTATAAATTATTTACATTCTAAAATGAATTAATAAGTCACACAATGGAGTTATAATAATATGTCTATTTTAGTCATTTGATATTTAACACAACCTTATGGCTGCGTTTGGGAACTTGGATTTGGGCCCTGGATTTAAAATCCTGGGTATTTCAAATCCAAATCTCTTGTTTGGGCCTCAAATTAGACTGAGATTTTAAATCAAATGATTTTAAAGAGGTGATTTTAAAAGCCCAAATACACGTATTTGAAATCCCACCCTCACCCTTCGTATTTACCAAATCCAAATCCGGACCCGACGACTCCCCCGATCCCGACTCCTCCTCCCTCTCGTTTCTCAGCGGCGATCCCTCTCGTTTCTCAGCGGCGATCTCGAATCTCCAGGTATCTCTCCTCTCTCCTCTCTCCCCCTCTCCTCTCTCCCCTTCTCCTCTCTCGTCTCAACGCAGGGATCTCTCTTTGTATTTTGAAACCCTAGATCTGATCTGAGTTTGCTTTTCTCTGTTGTAGCTTTTTTTCAATTTCTGCAGTTTCTGATCTGGGTACTCTTTATATCTCGATCTCTTCCGTTAAAATTGTCTGTTCTCTATGCTAATGGGTGCCTGCCTTATGTTCGATTTTATGCCATATGAATTTTTTTTTGATAAACCAAGTTACGTACTGGTTGATGATTGAGTGACTGTTGCCTTTTGTTGTTTGGTACTGTAATTTGGGAGAATATGTGTACACATGCACTCCCATATAAATAATTCTATTTGCCTGAATATAGAACTCAAAACCCATACTTGAAGGGAAAAGAAATCGGATCCAGATAGAATATGGATATTTACATGAAGATAGGAAGTTAATTTATTCTTTTGTAAGTATAAAAGATTTGAGTCATGAAGATTTGGATTCAACAGATGAGTTCTAGTTGTAAGTATCAACAGTTCTTTATTCTTTTGTATGCTTTAGATATTGTTTTTCGGAAATTCATCCAGTTGTATTCTAAGAGATAGAATGAGACATGGTCGTGGTTAATACTATGTACTAAACCAAATGTTGAGATCAGTTTGCTGGCTTCCTGTGTAGTTCTTCTATTTTCTTTGATAGAATGAACAGTCGAGAAGTTAATTTCCCCATGTTGTATCTAAGTTGAGGAATTATATTTTTGGTGAGCTCACATGTTAATTTGTTAGCTTAATGCATTTCTACCCCAGACGAGACTACTATTCAAGACTTTGCTGCTATTTTTGTTATTGTGTTGCTGCATAAACTGGTTGAATTAGCTCATTTAGGCATCCCTCGAATAATCGAAACTGATGTTAGATTATTGGATTTTAGTACTTCAATTCAACATGATGTATTTTATTTTGTGTATCACGAAAGACTAATGTGAGACAGAACAGGCACCTGATATTTCATATGAATGCACATAAGTTTTATCAATTATATTACTGTATTGGATTACTTGAAGCAACTCAATTCTAGTTCCTCATCATAGCCACTATTATTCAACCTCAGATGTAGCGCAGGAATCTCAAAAGAATGAGATTTAGTTTGAAAATATCAGGGTTTTCCGCTACAAATTGTACATGGAACAGAGAAAAAGCATCACTTACCAAAGCCAGTTACACCACTTCCAGCTAATACCAACGACCTAATACTGGATACATCTTTTCCAGCTAATACCAACTTACCAAAGCCAGTTCAGTGCTAGCAAGAAGTAATTTGCCTTTGCTATGTTCCCAACAAAGTTGTACAGAGCTTTGCACAGAGTGCAGACCTCGCACAAAATATACCACTTAGCAAACGCAACCATCATGAAGACAAGGTTCAGCAAATGTTAGTTAAAACTGCTAACGTTGGTCATAAATTGAACTAGATATTTAAAAATTACTAAGCTCATTTGTGAAAAAATGAGAACCGCAGGTTAGTAGACAGGCACGCACGAGCGCGCACACTAGCAGAAAAGCAATAGCAATTGAAGCATCTACATCAGTCAAAGTAATTCATTTCTAATATTAGCAAGCAAATTATAATACGCCACCCAAATTGGATGACGCATCAGGAAAGTAACATACCTTTGCTTATATCAGGTGTATCTGGTGTCTGCACCGGGTAAAACTTATAAAATCGCATGTTCTCAAATGCTGCCTTTGTTGCAGGATCCATGTCTTCTATAGCTTTTCCTCTGCTGCTAATAAAGCTAGAGTAATGTTGTGAATATTACTGTTTAGACCATTTGCATCTGTCTGTGATTATTTCATTAGCAACATTTGGATTGCCTTTATCCATTGCTCTAGCTTTATCACAACATTAGCTTGTGACCTTGTCCATGGATAATGACATGCAAATTTTATGTGTCACTTTAGAGTTTGCTAGTGTTTCTTTCTGATGACAGCTACTTATTTCTTTTTATTATTTCATGCATTCTAATGATGGTCTTAATAATCCTAATAATTACCCTTGTACCTATTTTGAGTAGCATTTTAAATTTGCATCTTGCTAAATATATATTCAGGATATATGCGTAATCTGCTTGCATGTTCAACTTTTAATGTGATAGGTTAAAAATGGTAAATGATGAAAGGGATTCAAGGATCCAACTTAAACGTACAAGGGAAGAATTTGAGAGGAGAGAGGATGATGACATTATTATGGTAGTGGTCAGTTTTATAGTTGCTGCCATTGGTGCTTGGTACTATACAAAGCACATGTTGAAGGAGAGTTCAAGAACACACGAAGAAGAGGATGAAAGGACATACCTTAGAAAGTCTTGGATTCGAAATCTTATTTGCAATGCAAATAACTGTGTTGAACAACTAAGGATGAATCCTCAAGCGTTTAAGAGGTTATGTGATGTTCTATGTACTAGAGGGGGATTAGTAGCATCAAGAAATGTCACGATTGAAGAAATTGTCGCTATGTTTTTGCATATTTTAGCTCATAATGTAAAAAATAGGACAAGCAAGACAGATTTTTATCGTTCAAATGAAACAATTAGTCGGCAGTTCCACAAAGTACTTCAAGCAGTCATGAAGATAGGAAGCCTCTATATTAAACAAGAATATACAAATCCTAATGAGAGAGACATAGAGAAGTGGAAATGGTTTGAGGTAACTATGACTTCTTTTATTAAGGTTTTCATGTTTAGTACTTTTGTTTAATAGAACTAATTGTAAGGTTGTGCAATTTTAGGATGCTATCGGGGCACTTGATGGGACTCATATCCAATTAACTATTCCTTTGGAAGATCAAAGTAGATATCGAAATAGAAAAGGAGAGAACAGTACAAATGTACTTGGTGTTTGTGATGCCAATTTGAGATTTTCATATGTGCTACCTGGTTGGGAGGGTTCAACATCAGATTCTCGTGTTTTGCGTGATGCTTTGCGTCGGCCCAATGGCTTAAAACTTCCCTCAAGTAGGAATATAATTCTTTTAATTATTATATATGTATTGCTTCCTAGTTTTTACATTGTTGTGACTGGAGATTTTGATTTTGTAGATAAATACTTTCTTGTGGATGCTGGGTATACAAATGGGCCGGGGTTTTTGGCACCTTATCGAGGGACTCGCTATCATATAAAGTCATGGAGAGAAAATGGTCCAAGAAACTACAAGGAGTTATTTAACCAACGTCATTCCTCTGCTAGAAACACAATATGAGGTAAATAATTTATGATGCAATATATAGAAATATTTTAATCAAAAATATTTTTTATATGAGGTAACTAATTTTTAATTAATTAATTCTATTAATACTAATATTTCATTACAATAAAATTAATTAATTACTCTCATTATTAATAATTAATAATCATAATTAATTATAAATTATTTACATTCTAAAATGAATTAATAAGTCACACAATGGAGTTATAATAATATGTCTATTTTAGTCATTTGATATTTAACACAACCTTATAAGATATTTGTTTACCAAACAAATAACTAATTATATTTCCTTATAAGTGAAGGGGTTTACCAAGCAACTTCCTTATTTTCTTACATGCTTATAAGAAGTATTAAGAATAAGTAATAAGTAACTTATAAAGACTTAAAAAAAGTGGTAGCCAAACATGCTCAAACTAATGTAAGCGGGTCAGATTTCAAAAACTAATGTAGAATTCTTAATTCAATTCCCGACTTCAAGGTTTAACAAATTCAATGCAAGACACATAATCCAGATTAAGTCATTAGATATTTGGGGTATCTTTTTCTTGTCCGTACTATATATAATAGCGTTGTGCAATCGGTCGGTCAATTCGATTTTTGGCCAAATTTAGCCAACCCGGACCAAATTGCATATCATTCAAAACTCAACTGAATCGATTCCTAACCTAACTGTTTCAAGTCGGTTTGTTCGGTTTTCATTTGAGTACAAATGTTATGTCCAAATTCAATTTCACCTCTAATCTGTTGACGAAGAAAGAAGTCCCCTACACTTTAATTTATTGAAATTCATGAACTATCAAATACTACTGAATATTAGATGCGGAAATCAAAATTTGATTCTTGTCAAAGCTTACATAACTTTTTTTAAAGTGAAAGCTCACATAAAGAATTAAAGTGATCTCAATCTGATAGACAAAGTAAATAAAAAATATGCAATAATTTAGATGTTGGGTATCGTTTCTATAAAATTATAAGTCTGATCTAAAGAGAAGTCTGATCCAAAGATTTTCTTGCATTATGTGTATCAATCGAGGAGAAAAATCAAGAAAATGTTAGAATCAAAATTATGGTTTTAACCACCCGGGGGTGGGATTCTTAGTCAGCAACTCTGTGGGGGAGGACTCGCTCCCTAGGCACGTGCCCTGTTGGTCAGGGGTTCAAATCCCCGCTGCGCATTCAACTGGTCTCTCTTGGTTTAAGGGTGGGGACGGAGACCCAGGGTTTTACGGTTCAACTAATCAGCCTGTCGATTAGGGACCCGTTTGAGTCTATTCTGGTCCACGCGCTGAGTGACCACCTACGTAGAATTGGGCCCCCTGGTAGCAAGGAGATGACTCCCTCAGCTGTGGGGGGATCGGGGAGATTTGAATCGTGGTCTCCACCAAACCCTCAAGGGGGGCGTTGAGTGGCTGACCATGTTTCCCTTGTCACTAAAAAAATAAAAAATGGTTTAAGTTTCTTACGTACAAAGTGGATTAGTCCAAACTAGAAGAAGTGAATAGATAATAAAAAGAGGTAGAGAACTAGAGATGATGAAAAACGCTAGAATTAGAGAAGATACCATTGTTGGGGTATTTCATCCTATCAGGTCACGTGAGAGAAAAAGATATCAAGCTGCAGCGAAGCAACTCTACACGAATTATGATGGGTCAGGTTTAAGCGAATGCGGATAGTAACTAGAATGTATAATACAATTCGATCGGTTCAGGCGGTTCGGGTTGAAAAAACTTCAACCCGGCCCGAACTGAACTTTAGTAAAAACCAAACCAAACTGTCAAATTTCGGCCGAAACTGAATTATGCTCACCCCTAATATATAACCTACTCTTTAATAACCTTTTAATTATTATTTTACATTTCCTCTAGGTATCCCACCCGTCCTGTGAAATGCTGCAAACGTATTTGAAAGCTGATGGGTTAAATTGTAAATTAGAACTTTAGGCTCCGTTTGGCAAATGGTTAAGAAAGAGGGGTTAAAAAGAAGGGTTAATATACTTAGCCCATTCAATAATCTGAGGCCCCGTTTGGCAAAAGGTTAAGGAAAATGGGTTAAAGAGAAGGATTAATGTACTTAGTCCATTCGATAATCTGAAGGACTAAATTATTAACCCGTTAAATAAGTTTTATTTTAGCCATTGTGATCAGTTTTAGTATTTGTCAATAACAACAATTTTGACTATTTTCTTTATAATTAGAAGGGTTAACTATTAATCATTCTAAATAGGAGTATTAGTAAACCCCTCATTTTGAGGGGTTAACTCATTTTAATCCCTCTAGTGAGGTTAGCTTAACCTTTTTATATATTTTATGTTTGACAAATTATGGAGGATTAACTTACTTTAATCTTTATATATATTTTTTGTGTTTGACGGGTTAAAAATAGATTAAGTCTTCTTAACCCCTCACTTAACCCTTTGCCAATCGGTAGGTGTTTGCCATCAGAACTCCTATACAAAAACTAAATGCTGTACAAGAATCACATCAGTCAGCCACCTCAAAATAGGCGCTTCCTTTTCAAAATTTCAAGCGGAAAAAAAAAAGAAAAAAAAAAGAAAAATCGAACGCTTCATTGCTGAGAGAGCGAAGAAAATGACTGATGTCGAGAGCAACTCCTATGAAGAGATCCGAAGGAAGAGAGTCCAAGAAAATCTCAAGCATCTCGAAGTATTAGAAGATTACCTATATTCGCTCATTGTTTATTCCTTGTTTTTTAAATATTTTTTTATCGACATTTTATGTTCAATTTGAAAATTTTTGGGGAAACGCTTTATTTGAAAGATAGAATTGAAAACCTGAAGAAATCAATTATGGGTCTTTGCAGTCTGCTGATTTATGAAAAACCGATGAATGTTTTTTTTCTTTTTGGTACTTTTAATAAGGTTCTAAATTTTTTTCTTAAAAAAGGGTTTTTTAATTGAAATAAATGGATAACTGATGAGAAAATTTTCATCAAAATTTTCTCTTTTTTGCTGTTGTTATTCATAATTCCCTTGCCCATAAAGCTAAAATAAGTTGTAGATCATCATTTTTTCTTTATAATGGTGGATGTGATGTGCAATCTGAAGAAACTGAAAATGCTGAAATTAGGAGAAATTCATTCCTGTAGGTTGTTCTGATTGGTTATTTCTTTCTTTTAGTTATTAGCTTTTCTTTATGCTCAGGGGGAGCACATGACCTTATAAAAGCTTATGATAGCCATTAGGAATTACTAAATAGTAATCATTGGAAGAAAAGAACTAGAGACAGTTAATAGTTTAGTTTGCATATTACTTTTTGACTTTCGAGAACATTTTGTTTTCAGTTTTTCAAAAATTGTCTTTTAAACATTTGATATGGAATCAACTTGGGGGCCTGCAAACTGTTGTACATAAAAAAGCTTTCCTAATTTGTTTCTCTTCATTGGGATTTATGATTTGTAGATGGTTATGTTAGTTGCAATGTGATTGAAGCTTCCGTTTTTCCTTTTCATTCTTCTAATGTTGTAAGTTGTGGACATCTGGAGGAAGTTTTCCTACTTATTGATTTCTTTTATAAGTGTACATGATTTTGATACCATGAAGCAAATAAGAGAGTGTGTCTGATTTTTACCTGTTTACATGCATCCTCTTTTTTATGGCACCTCATCATTAACACTCCTAATTTCGCCACCTACTTTTTATTAAATTGATGGGGGTCAAAAGAGTACCGACGATGGAAAAACTTTGGGTACCAATCTCTACAATTTGTGATTGAACGATAAGAATCTTTTGGCTAAAATAGAATAGCATATTATTGCTATACATCTAGTTTGCTCTTCAATGGTATTAATGAACTCTTTTTGGGTACAACCGTTATCTTTCTTTTCGTGACTTCATCCTTCTTCCCAAACCAAAACTAGAGTGAAGCTTAGCGCTTAACTGATGGCTGGTTAGAGTATTGCACCATTGAATCTTATTGTCATATTTGCATTATGTATTCAAACCCCAGGCCCCTATTTTTAGGTTATTTTTTATTTATTTTATTATTTTTACATGATAAAACATGTTTTCTCCCTCGTATTGGTACCTTTTTGGTTTATAATTAAACATAGTTCTCAGGTAGCTCTAACTATACATTTGAGGAGAATGACATGTGTATTATGAGGATAATGGGTATCATTTGACACATGAGGGGATTCTCTCATATACAATGATTAAACTCAGCCCACATTACTACATTACTTGGCTAAGTTTTAGCCATATTACTGTCTATGAGAGAATCTTCTCATATGTCATTTGTTACCCAATATGCTCATATATTAATAGAAAAATCACTAGTGAATTGTTAACTGTTTTTGGTTTGCTTTTGAAGTTGTAATTTAAGCTATTTCTATTAGCATTATTAAACCACCTACCAAGATAGTGGTACTTGAAATAATTTTGAATAGTTAACTAAACTAGCATGTTCCAACATTTATAATTATCCAGCAACATAAACTTGCTTTCAGTTTAAACTTGTCAGGTTGCACCTCACTTGATTTATCATCTCTCTAATGACCTTATCGGTGTTATTGCTTATATTGTAAACTAAAAATGAAATCCTACATGGACTAAAAAGTTTGTTTGTGAAGTTAGGACTTTTTTTATTAAGGAAGATGTACATTTGCAGTGTTCAAGAACTATGACAACGCAAATATCCTAACAAAAAAGTAGTTTTAGTATAAGTTGAATTCATAAGTTATGGCAAATATATTATAACTTTGGTGGCAGGGGTCAACCGTGTAGAAATGAAGCCTGTTTAGCTAGATCAGTTGAATAGTCTCATATACCTTTTTCGAACTTTGGCATGTACTTGAATGAATAAAACAAATTCATCATTAAATATATTCTCAATTTTTGTCTATCCAATTAATCATTTGTGTTCTTTGTTGGACAAGGATCTGGGAATTTCAAAGATCTCTAAAGGTCTCTTGGAGGTTGCACAAATAGAACACAAGTTACAGGTAAGATCAGCTATCATACTATTCATTTCTAAAGGCAGGTTTATATAATTTGCGGACATATTTCTATATTTCGTTAATTTGAATTTATGAAAGCCTGTAATTCAACAATAGGCAAAGGATTTCTTAGTGATTTCATGAATGATCTACTTTGAATAAAGGCTGATTGCAGACACCAATTCTTGTCGTAGACAAAACATAATTATTTATCGATCAGTTACATATTGGCTAAGAAGTTTTTTGGTACATTTAATTAAGGAATTTACATATGACACCATGTCAATATATGCTATTCTATAAACATAAGGCTCAGAGGAGCATTAATATTGTGATTTCTTAATTGTTTTGCAGAAAAGTTATTCAAGCCCCAAACCTAAGAAAAAATTTGAAATATCAGAATTGAGGCGGTCTTCAAGAGAAAGAAAACCAGGAATTTCATATTCTGAGGAGGTACATCATTTATCTTTCTGATCTAATTGGATGAGACAGGAGATTGTGGATTGTGCAGCTTTACTTGACATAGGACACAATTATTGGTTTTCCTCTTTGTTTCCGGCTGGTAGTATTATAACTGAGCATGTGAAGATAATCAATGATTATCGCTTTTTATGCATAATGGAAAGTTTGCACTCGGCATCGTTTCGGCCGCTTCACCCGCCCCCCCCCCAGCACCCCGCGACCGGACCCAATTCTTTTAACGCGATGTTCTGATACGAATATAGGCAGATTCCTGAGATGCTCTGAGATCTATGTAAGCCATCTTATTTTAACTTGTTATTTTTTTTTCCATTTGTGTCATTTGGTTGTTGACTTATACTTAGTTATATTTGCTGTACCTTATTTTAGCTTCTTATTATTATCTATTTGTGTCATTTGGTTGTTAAATTATAACTATTTATTTCTGTTATATGTCAGTTTGAGTATGTTTCTGAATCTCTTAGCCATGTTCACATTTTTATATTTATTGTCTTGTTAATTGGTCTTTTGTTATAGGTCATGTTCTAGTAAGAACGTTAGAAGAATAATTCTTTCTCCTTTTGGTCTTTTATCTGCTAAATAACTTGCAGATATCTCATCTAGAAGCAAATCTGAATATAGGAAATGTCTTCATTCGTTGAATTGCATTCTTGATCTCCTGTTCCCTGTTGTTTTGCTCATGTGGTAGTTGAACATCCAATCTTACGCACATTTATCAGTTAACAATTGCTCAATTATGCAGGCACTTATAAGTCCTTTGACTTGTTAGGTATTAAGTCAATTGAGCGACCTAGAATCCTGAAGGAATATTACCTAATCAAAGCTCCCTTCCACTGCACTAAAACTCCAGAGTTATGATGAGGGTTGAGGGATATAATTCATTAATTCTATATTGTAACATGCCTCCGCAAGTTGACCGCCTTTTTCATGGGTCAAATCATGGACTCACACAATGGTATATTTATAGAAAACGCGCTTTAAATATGTGGCAGACGAAATTTTGAGTCCGGGTTTCTATGAAATCATTGAAAAAAAACCCCCTTTCACTGCACCAAAACCTTGAAGTTATTACGAGTGTTGAGGGTTATAATCTATATTCTAACAATCTGCATAAGTGGATGATGAAGCAAATTGTGCTAAGTAGAAGTGACATATGCAGTCAGAAGCCCTATCACATGACTGCATCTGGTACGATATAGACATTCAAATTTTGGGTAGTTTTTGTTAATTGGATGGATATGTTGGGACAAACCCGGGGCCCAATAGAGCAGGGTCGTAGCAATAGTAGAGCAAAAGTAGAGATAAAATGTTGGACACACAGATTTACGTGGTTCGGCATTTGATTGCCTACGTCCACGGGCAAGGATAGAAGAATTCACTATGAGAAGAAAACTCTGGAGTTACAATCTCTCTTTCTAAGGAGATACTCTCTCTATTTTTTCTCTCACACTCTTCTATATAAGAAGTTTTTTCTGGGATGAGATTTCCTTAAGGATTTGGAGCCTATTTATAGGATTTTAAAAAACACTATGCATAATAAAATAATAATAAATTACTATGCTGTGGGGCCCGCCCTTTTGTTTTCTTTTCCTCTTTTCAACATTTGTGGCTGTGCACTTTCGGTGCTGTGGCTGCTGCTTCTTTCGGTGGGTTTGGAATATTAGGCGCCTGACAATCTCCTACTTGAAGATTTGATTGAGCATCAATCATATCTTCACACCATTCTTTCTATCTTGCCATCTTTATATTGCTTACGTCTCAGACAGACCACAGCAGAATCGACACCAAATAAATTTGTCAGTATTGACTGTTTTTGTTAAAAAATCTGCTAGGTTGTCTTTGGTGTGAATTTTCTGCATATCCACTGTTCCTTCTTCCACTTTCTCACGAAAGAAGTGATACTGAACTCGAATATGCTTGGTCTTTGAATGAAAGGCTGGATTTCTTGCCAAATGCAAAGCACTCTGACTATCACAAAATAGAGAAATCTTTTTTTGTTCATAGCCGAGTTCCTCCAGCACCATCTTCAACCACATCGCTTCTTTACTAGCTTGTGTAGCTGCCACATACTCTGCTTCTGTTGTTGAAGTAGCCACAACTGACTGCAGTTTTGAAACCCAGCTTACAGCTCCGTCAGCAAGTGCAAACACATAGCCTGTGGTGGATTTGCTATTATCACGATCACCTGCATAATCAGAATCAACATATCCACTGACAATAAAATTAGATCCCCCATAGCATAATGCAACATTTGAGGTTCCTTGAATGTATCTTAGAACCCTCTTTACAGCATTCTAATGCTCTTTATCAGGATTCGTCATGTATCGACTAACCACTCCCACTGCTTGTGTAATGTCTGGGCTTGTACAAATCATCGCGAACATTAAGCTTCCCACTGCTGATGCATACGGTACTCGAGACATCTCCATCCTCTCTTCTTCACTGCTAGGACTCATACTGGAGGATAACTTGAAATTAACAGGAAGTGGGGTAGAAATTGACTTACAATCTTGCATGTTAAAGCGTCACAAGATTTTCTTCAAATAGTTCTTTTGAGAAAGCCAAATCTTCCTATTAATTCTGTCTTGGTAAATTTGCATTCCTAGAATCTTGTTTGCAGATCCTAAATCATTCATTTTAAATTTCCTAGCCAACTGGGTCTTTAATTCTTTGATACGATCTTTATTGGGGCCTGCAACCAACATGTCGTCAACATACAACAATAAGATAACAAAGTTATTTTTACCAAACCTCTTGAAATATGCACAAGGGTTTGAATTAAATCTGTTGTATCCAAGGCTCATGATGAATGAATCAAATCTCTTGTACCAACACCTCGGCGCCTGTTTTAGACCGTACAGAGATTTGTTCAATCTGCAAACCAAGTTCTCTTTTCCTTTTTCTTCAAAACCTTCTGGTTGGAGCATGTAAATTTCTTCTTCAAGATCTCCATGAAGAAATGCTGTTTTCACATCTAGCTGCTCTAGATGTAAGTCAAATATAGCGCTCATAGCCAGGACTATTCGGACTGTTGTTAGTCGAACTACAGGAGAAAATATTTCATTAAAATCAATACCTTCTTTCTGAGCATATCCTTTTACCACCAATCTAGCACGATATCGCTCCACCTGATCATCGTCGTTTCGCTTGATCTTGTGACCCATTTGTTTCCAATGGTCTTTCTTTTTTGTGACAGTGACACAAGTTCCCAAGTCTTGTTTTTATGGAGAGCTTCAATTTCGTCCTGCATTGCTGTCATCCACAAAGATGCATCTGTGCCATTTATAGCTTCATAAAAAGTTGATGGCTCTCCATCTTCTGTTAGAAGACAGTATGCAACATTACTCTCCGTAATATACTCCGAGTGTCAAGTCGGTGGTCTTCTCTCACGAGTTGACCTTCGAACTTCTGGAGCCTCGGACTCGACCGGTTCTTATACATCATGCTCCGGTGTTGCTTCAGAAGAATTCAGATTATCTTCTACCTGAACAGCTACAGTCTCTGAGTCTTTCCTCGAATTGCTTTCTTTTTCTTCACTTTATAGTTGGTTTTCTACAAAGATAACATCTCTGCTGATAATAACCTTACGGGCAGTGGGATCTCACAGGCGATACCCCTTTACTCCATTAGCATACCCTAAGAATATGCATTTTCTGAATTTTGAATCCAGCTTTGTAATTTCTTGGGCATTGTACATTACGTACACTGGACATCCAAATATATGGAGGTTGGAATAATCAGCTGGCTTGCCAGTCCACATCTCCATTGGTGTCTTCAATTGTATTGCAGTTGATGGAGATCGATTCACAACATAACAAGCGGTTTTTACTGCTTCCGTCCAAAAGATTTTTTCCAGATTTGCAGTTACCAACATAGCTCTTGTTCTTTCCAACAGAGTTCTGTTCATCCGCTCCGCCACTCCATTTTGTTGTGGAGTATAAGCCGTACTGAATTGTCTTTTGATGCCTTCATGCTTGCAGAATGCTAGGAATTCACCGTCTGTGTATTCTCCTCCATTATCTGACCTCAAGCACTTGATCTTCTTCTCAGATTCAAGCTCGACCCGCGCTTTGTAGGCTTTAAAGACTGAGAACACATCCGCCTTCTTCTTGATAGGATACACCCAACATCTCCTGGAGTAATCATCAATAAAGGACACAAAGTACTTTGCTCCTCCTAAGGATGTAACTGGTGCTTGTCATACAACAGAATGAACCAGTTCCAGAATAGTCTTGCTTCTAGAACTCGATGTGTTGAACTTTAGCCGATGCTGCTTACTTGTAACACAATGCTCGCAGAATGGAAGAGCTACCGAATTAAGTCTAGAAAGCAGCTTCTGATCGGAGAGAACCTTCAAGCCTTGTTCTGACATATGGCCTAGTTTGCGATGCCACATCATGGTTTGTTCTTCTCCATGGCTGGTTGATGCCACACATGAATCAGCTTCCTGCATGGTTTCTCCCTTGAGCATATATAGATTTGCAGCTATCTTTTCTTCTTTTATCACCACAAGCGCCCCTCTAACAATCTTCATGATTCCATTTTCGATATGAGTTTTGCATCCGAGTTCATCTAATTATCCCAAAGATAATAGATTCTTCTTCAAGCCCTTCACATGTCGCACATCTTGAATGGTGCGTATTGTACCATCAAACATTTTAATTTTGATAGTGCCAATACCAGAAATCTCCAAGGCATGATCATTCCCCATGAATACAGATCCTCCTGAGATAGGTTCATATTTGTGAAACCAATCTCTCCGAGAGGTCATGTGCCAAGAGGCTGCTGAATCCAGAAATCAGACATCAGCAAACCTCTTTCTGCCTTCATCAACAGTGGTTGCTCCACTGAATAGAATTTCACCATCGTCTGATGTGCTGATAACGCATCCTTAAGATGTTGATGACTCTGAAAACTTTTTCTCTCTACTCTTCTTATTGTGCCAACACTCCGATTTGACGTGCCCTCTTTTGCCACAGTTGTAGCATTTGACATTCTTCTTACTTCTTGATTTGGATCTACCATGGGTATGACTCCCACTGGAGCCACGTTCCGTTGATCTTCCTCTCGTCACCGATAAGGCCTTCGCTTGTTGCGAACTTGCATGCCTGTCTTCCTTGTTCTTGCGCCGATTTTCTTCCTCCAGAACAGCGGCTGTAACATCGTCGAAGACTAGATTGTCCGTAAGGACGTTGTTTGTCAGGTTGATGATGTGTTGATCATACGAGTCAGGTAGACTCTGAAGTAGAAGTTCTGCAAGTTCATTCGCACCAACTGTATACCCCAACGTTGTGAGTTGGGAGAACAATGTGTTTACGGTATTGATGTGGTCGGTCATCGATGTAGATTTCGCCATCCTCAGAGTGTAAAGTCTCCTTTTTAAGAAGATTTTATTGTGCATGGATTTCGCCTCATATAGCTTTGTTAGAGTATCCCAGATCTCCTTTGCTGTCTTCTTCTCCTCTATGCTTGACAGCACCCCGTCTGCTAATGCCAGATGGAGATTTGCAATACCATTTTCGTCCATCTCGTTCCATTTCTTATTATCTGTGATGTCGTTCGGCCTTGCACCAATGACCGCTAGACAATTATCTTTTCTCAAGATAGCTTTTATCTTCAACTTCCACAGAAAAAAATTACTCCCGTCAAATTTCTCGATCTTGAACTTCGTCGCCATTGCTTCTACCACGAACAGTAACTTACTATTTTACGTAAATAGTACTGTATTTATGAGCAGTAATCGTATCCGTGAATAGTACCGTACTTATGAATAGTATCAGATTTGTGAACAGTACCGTACTCGTGAATAGTACCCGTCACCTCCAAAGGGTAAATGATAACCTAACTTATTTTCTGATGTGGAGGATCCACCTTTGGTGGCAGCCATAGAGCATACGATAAGTAGATATATACAAGTACCCTAAGTTGGCTCTGATACCACTTGTTGGGACAAACCCGGGGCCCAATAGAGCAGGGTCGCAGCAATAGTAGAGCAAAAGTAGAGATAAAATGTTAGACACACAGATTTACGTGGTTCGGCACTTGATTGCCTACGTCCACGGGCAAGGATAGAAGAATTCACTATGAGGAGAAAACTCTGGAGTTACAATCTCTCTTTCTAAGGAGATACTCTCTCTAATTTTTCTCTCACACTCTTCTATATAAGAAGTTGTTTCTGGGATGAGATTTCCTTAAGGATTTGGAGCCTATTTATAGGATTTTAAAAAACACTATGCATAATAAAATAATAATAAATTACTATGCTGTGGGGCCCGCCCTTTTGTTTTCTTTTCCTCTTTTCAACATTTGTGGCTGTGCACTTTCGGTGCTGTGGCTGCTGCTTCTTTCGGTGGGTTTGGAATATTAGGCGCCTGACAGGATATATGTGACATAATGAATTTATTCTTTTTATCTGACACAGAAAGCCATAGAAGTTCTTTCCTCATTCCAAGTTTTGGTTGATTCTTTGAGAATGATTATGTTAAAATAGGCACTCTTGGTAATGTCAATTTTTGCACAGAACATATGTTGTAAGCAAGCCAATGACATGTATCTGTAGTCATATTTTCAATATTCTCTTGTTCTCAATCTAGCTTCTGTGGCTTTATTTCCGAGCTGTTTATGTTATGAGAATCCCAACTATTTATCCAGTCTCCATTTACTATATTTCTTGCTTAGACCATGTTATAAGATACGGCTTTGCTTGATTATTTTCACCCTCTTTAGTCAATAAGTTTTGACTACATTCTATTCAATAAAAGTAAGCCAGACGACTAAAGCACTTAAATATTTGGATCAGGCTTATAATGAAGAACTTGTGTCTCATCGCAGAAGGTATCGTTTATTTCTACCGCAACTATTTATCATTGCATAGCAGAAAAGAAGGGTCCTCATGTTGCTAAAATATGTTATTATTTTTCTTTCAGTTACAAAAGATCAATGAACAAAAATGCTGATAGAGCATATACTGGAAGAATCGCTTCTTATCAACAGATAGCTGCTGCAGTAAAGAGAGCAGAGAAACTGGAGATGGATTTGAAATCCCCCCATCCTTCTTTTGTTAAAACTATGGTCCGGTCACACGTATCTAGTTGCTTTTGGCTTGTGAGTTCAATCGTACATTTTAGAAGTTATTTCACTGCCTTTTGAAGTCAATAATTCATAACTCTGATGTGTTTATTTGGTAACAAGGGCCTTCCAACAAAGTTTTGCAAGGATAACCTTCCTCTTTCTGAGCTCAGAATGGTTTTAGAAGATGAGGAAGGCAAGGAATATGATGCTGTATATATTGGGAAACGGACTGGCCTTAGCGGTGGATGGAGAGGCTTTGCATTGGACCACAACTTGGAAGATGGAGATGCTTTAATATTTGAACTTACTGAGCCAGCAAGGTTCAAGGTATTTTTTAGTGTTCAATATTTCTTTTTATTGGATGGCATGCAACATTGAGCTTGCAATCTTATGACCTCCACCCCTCACCATTTTTTTTCTCCTCTCCTACTGTATAGATGTTTACCACAGTTGACAGTATTTCCGTTCATATGTTTTTACTTTGATTGTTCTGTTATACTTCTGTAGATTAACCATATGATGGTGGTTTGATTTTGGAGAAGACAACTCTCTACACAAAGGGAACCTTTATTAATAGAACACTAAATATTACAGCACTGAATATTACACACTCATCTCTTACAAGAATACCTCACTATAACACAACTCTCTTATTTTGGTGGACACTCACACAAGCCTACACTACTCACTCAAGCTCATTTCTCGCTTCGTTGCTCAAATGAGACCCCAAGACCCCTATTTATAGTTGCCCAAGAATGCTAGGAAGTGTGTAGAAGAGTGAACGCCAGTCATACACTTGTAGGAAGTATCTAGAACAACAAACATGAGCCATACACTTGTATATCTCTAGAAATTTCTTGATAGAACTTACTCTGTAGTATAATGCTCAGGAGTATTCTAGAGTATTACTCTAGATTGTTCAAAGTTTGTGGGGATTTTCAACACTCTCCCCATCACCAACTTTATTCTGCCATGTTGTCATTCCAAGTTGTCGGAATTCTCCAATCTTTGAAGGAGTTCTTTGTGAAAATATCTGCTACTTGGTTTGGTCTTGATTGGTTGCATCACTATTTCTCCTTGTAGTATCTTTTCTGTTATGTGGTGATGATATATCTTTATGTGTTTTATTCTTGCATGGAACACTATTTCTCGCCAGTTGGATTGTTGATTGATTGTCGCAGTGGAGAGGAACCTAATAATCAACAAGCTGATGCATATTACTCAGTAGTTGTAGTAACCATGTACTCTCCTAGGCTGTTATAGCTGCTGCTCTGTACTCTGCCTCGGTAGTCAAGAATGACATCCTCAATTGCCTTTTACTATACCAGGATACTACTCCTAATCCAAGACTGAAACATATCCCATTGTTGATCTGTGAGTGTCATGATCTCTAGAAAAGTCTGCATCGCAATATCCAATAGCTTTAAGTAATTTTGCTTTCTTGTATAGTAGGCCAAAGTTTAGTGTTCCTTTTACATACCTTACTATTTGTCGAACTGCTCCTGGATGAGGTTTCCTTGGCTTTTGCATGGACCAGCTTGTTACTCTAACTCCAAATGAGATGTCAGGCCTGTAATAGTTAGATTAGACTACCTACCAATTGCCGGCACATAGTCGAATTCTCTGTCTCTGCCTTTTTCTGTGCATAGTCTTACATTTACCTCCATAAGAGTTTCAATTGACTTGCATTTTAGCATCCCGAATTTCTGCAAAAGCTCTTTGGCATACTTGTGTCGGTGCAAGAATAGCCATTCTTTTGTTTATTCTATCTCAAGTCCGATAAAGTGTTTGAGCTCTCTAGGTTCTTTCATCTAGAATCGCGCCACCAGGTCCTCTCTATTTCGACTTATTTCTATTTCTTCATCTCCAATGATGATAAGGTCATTTGCATACACTAGCCTACTGCTAGTCTCCCTTCAAATTCTGCTTGAATCTGCTATCTTTTCATACCATACACTAACATGCTTGAATCTGACTGGTGTTAGTGCATATCCATTATGCACCAAAAATTCTGTTATCTTTTCATACAATGCTCGTGGAGTTTGCTTTAGTCCATAGAGAGTTTTTCTCATCTTACAGATATATTTTGGATGTTCATAATTTTCAAAGTCTTCTGGTTGCTCGATGTATATGTCTCGATCCAGCTCTCCATGTGGAAAAACATTCTTCACATTCATCTATCATAACTTCCATGACTTGTTTGTTGCTAAGGGTAGAAGGACGTGCATCGTAGTTATTTTAGCTACTGGACTATGTCTCATCATAGTTCAACGCACATTGTTGTGAGAATCCATGAGCTACCAGTTGAGCCATATACCTTTCGATAGGCCATTTGAACGAGTCTTCACTTTATAAACCCATTTACGTGATATGAGCTTCACATCTTTAGGCTTGAGCACCAAGTCTAAGGTTTGATTCTGTTGTAGTGCCACCATCTCTTCTTCCATTGCTTTTCTCCATTCAACACCCTTAGGGGGGGTTAGTCACATGGAACTTAAATCTGGAACTGGGATAATCTGTGGGATAAAAATTTAAGGTGTTAGTCACATAGAATTAGGAAATGGGATATTTTTTATAGTGTTAGTCAAATAGAACTTTTGTAGAACTAGAACTGTATTATTTTTTTGGTGCGTTAGTCAAGTAGAATTCTACTTGAATTAGAATTGGGATAATTTGTTATAATTATCCCACTCAGTGATTTTAAAAGCGCTCTGAGGCGCGCGCCTCGGGCGCAAAGCGCTGCGGCGCGGCGGCGTAGCGCCCCGCATGAGGTGCGGGGCGCTACGCTTACGCGAAGCGCGCGCCTCATCAACGCCCCACAGCGCTTCAGAAGACAACCAAGGCGATCGCCTTGAGTTCAACAGATGTGGGTTGGTTTTAAACAGGCTATCGGGTACAAACCCGACTCAATATTACACCCAAGGTCCCAAATCGGTCTCACCTCTTCGATTTTTACCGCTGCAAAGAAAATTAGGGCTTCTATCTTCACCTCTGCAAGAAAAATTAGGGCTTCCTTCTCCTGCGGCCGCGAGCAGAGGACGACGAGCTTCCGACGAAAGAGCGGAGGACGATGAACAGCCGACGACGAGAAGAACGCGGCGAGCTTCCGGCGGTGATCGAAGGTTTGTTTCCCTACTTTTTTCATTTCTTTTTGTTTGCCGTTTTTTTCTTTCTCTGTTCGATTTTCTCTCCCCTCTTCATTTTTTTTCCTTTTCTCTCCCCGCTTCGTTTCTTTTCTTTTCTTTCTCTGATCGAAACTTCGGTCTCACCTCTTTGCCTTTTTTTTTATTCTCACGTGAACTTAACAGCTCTGTTGCCTTTTTTTTATATTCTTTTTTTCTTCATTTATCTCTGTTAAGAGCTTAATGTTGTTCGGGTAGTTGGTAATAAACTGATTTTTAATGTTTACTATTTTAATGAATAGTTAGTACTTAATAACTTGAGTTAATGATTTGAGGTAGTGAGCTAAGAATTTAGATTTGACTGTTTGATAGCAATTTGGCGAGTAGAGAAGTTTTGTTCAAACATTGTGTTGAGTCAGTTGACTGTTAAGATGGGGTTAATCAAATGATTGTTTGACTATAGAAATACTAACTAACTTACAAATGTTTGATTGTAGAAATGCTAACTAACTTACAATTATTTACAAAGAGATTTACGGACTAATTGCTTACTTCTTATTAATACATATTACATATCATGATATCAATCATAATTGTTGAAAATGTGATACTATTTGATTTCTTGTGCGAGACTACGAGTATTGATTCTTGCTATTTGCACTAAGTGTAGTGCTACACTGCTATTAGTTGACTTGAAAGTTGAAACTTGATTCGCTATTTATAACCTGTAAAGAAGGAAAATAAAAATATAGTTGTTAGTGTCATGCAATATATTAGTATGAAAGTTTAAAAATATAGTTGTTAGTGTCATGCAATAGAAATTTCACAAATATTTATTATTTTCATGCATCTTGTATATCTCAAAAATTTATGGTCAGGATCGCGCCTCGCTTCGCTCGGGCGCGCGCATCACATTGCGCCTTGCGCATGTACGCGTAAACTGACTTTGCGCCCCGCATTGCGCCTCGCGTATTGAAAACACTGATCCCACTAATTATATTACCTATATATAGCCATAAGTTCCCCTCTCAAAAATTATCCTACACATTGAAAAGAACCACATTGAAAAAAACCAATTGGGGGAAAAATTGAAGCGGTGCTTCCGCCTCCCTCCCTCCCAAAAAATTTCTCCGCCTCTCTTCTCTCCGATCCTCTTCCCTTCCCAGTGCGTCGTCTCCGCCGTGTCATCTTCTCCGACTTCATCAACTTCTCCTGCGCCGTCCACGAGATCAGGTATATAACTTCAGTTCTTTGGATTTTAAACACAGTTGATGATCAGGCCTTTAGATCAAAATATCGATTCATGTATGTATCACCCCAAAAATCAAGATTTCCTCTGTACTTGTTATATTAGATATGAGTTCTAGAGATAGCAGAGCCAATTCAAGAAAGATGAAAACATGTAATTTGATGTACAATTGTTTTATAATCGCTGTTTTTGAACCTTATTTTGTTGGTTAGTAATATTGTTTAATACCTTCTAAAAGGCAAGGCTCAATTTGACGGAAATAACTTAATATGAGGATGGAAGTCTACTGAATAAATGAATTTTTGACAGGCTTCTGCTAGGCCTTTTCGCATTTTTGGCATCAAAGTTTGTTATCGTTGTACTTGTTCTATGGATTTTAAACAAAGTTGATGATCATGCCTTTAATTTGCTTGTAATTAGATCAAAAAATTGATTCATGTATGTAAAAAATTGATTCATGTATGTATCACCCCAAAAATCAAGATTTCCTCTGTACTTGTTATATTAGATATGAGTTCTAGAGTACTTTACCTGATAACAGGAAATACTCACGGAAGTTTCTCATGGTGCTCATCTTTAGGTTTTAGTTGTGCTTTTCCTTTCTAGTTGTGGTTGGATATCTGCATACAAATTAGTTATAGGAAATTTGATTGCATAGATTAGTTATATTGCTGCCTTTAAAAATACTTGGCTTTGATTTAATGGTGAAAGTTATTGATCACTGAATGTTTTCAGTTTGATGTTAGTCATTCATTCAGTGAGAGAGTATAGTACAATGGCATGTCCAGTCCATCACCAGTTACAAAACCATACAAAATGTGATTAACTTCTGTCCATGTGAATACTAAATAATATGTAATTAGATTTTGTAAATGAAAGTACCATTTTGTAATTGAAAGTACCATTGTGTGATTAACTTCTGTCCATGTGAATACTAAAGCATAGAGATGAACATA